CCTCAGCACGCACCACCACCACCCAACACTGCCGCCACCACTACCGCCGCCGCCGGGGGCCCACTTGTATAATACGCATCAGGCAGAGCCTCTTGAGCGCTGGAACGCGTCCCCATCAAGCATACATGCACGCTCGCCCCGGGCAGCATGCCACTTCTCACCACACACGCCCATATCGACACCTCCACACCCCTGATACAAACTCCCACGGCCCTCCCGGCCCCGGACGTGAGTGCGCTCGGCTGCGCCCCGCGCACAGCTGAGCCCTGCACTTGCACAATCGCGTCCCCTCACCCCCCCTCCCCACCCCCACCACCACACACACATGCGACTCTACCCAAAAACGCACAGACTTGACTGACGACGGCCGCGCCCAGGCCCAGTCCCTCAACTCGATGCTCGCGGGTGGCGGGTGGTTCAAGAAGGTCACCGGGGGCAGGCCAGTGCGCGCGGTGGTCAGCCCCCTGACCAGGTGTGATGGGTCATGCTGGTGTGGGAGCGCGAGATTTGCATGCACACGCGTTCTTGCATGCGTGCGTGGTTGCGTTTGCACGCATATCTTCTTCTTTGCATGCACATGTGTGCTTTTGTGTGTGTGTGTGTGTGTGCATGTGTGTGTGCATATGTTTGTGTGTACATGTGCAAGCTTGCGCTCCACACCCCACTCGTCATCCCCCACTACTCTCCGCTTACAAACGCGCTCCTTCCCCGCGCCACAAACCCCCAACTCCAGGTGCCTCAACACGGCTACCAACGTGCTCAAGGGTCTGCCCATCAACGCGACCAACGTTGAGGAGCTGTGCCGCGAGACGCTGGGGGAGGACACCTGCGACGCGCGGCGCAGCGTCAGCGATCCGCCAGCCGGGGGCGGCGGGGCCGCAGACGGTGCGCGTATGTGTTTGCGTAAGTGTGTGTGTGTGTGTGTGTGTGTGTTTATGTGTGTGTGTGTGTGCGTGTGTGCGTGTGTGTGTGAGCATGAGTCGTGTGCGCATGTGCGCAAGCGCGCATGTGCACGCGCCAGTGTGTCTTCTCTTGTGTCCACTGCATGCGTTTTGCCAGAGGGCGAACTTCAGAGCACATCCCTGCTTGAGCAGCCCCCCCCTCTGCTGCTGCCGCGCACCCCTCACCCTCTGCTGCAGCCCCAGCCGGCAAGAAGTCGCCGCAGCCGCCCTGCAAGTTCGACAAGGGCCTGCGCAGCAAGTTCCCCGGATTCAAGTTCAAGGTGGGGGGGCCTGACCCAGTGCACCTAGCAGTGGCGCGGCCCGCCGGCGCTCGGAGAACACGATTTTTGTCATGCGTCCGCATTTGCCGAAACACCTTTTCCTGCCAAGATTGCGCAAGCACGCGCGGCCCGCACCTGCTGGCTTGGGACGGGCCGCTATGCTCATATGGGACGACCCGCGACAGACACTGTCTGCATGTCACTTAAAAGGAAGCGTCAGCGCAATTCATGACACTTCTGTGTTGAGAGCAGCCTGCAATACCCCCAGCGCGCTGGCTGCAACCGCTGCAGCCGTGCCAAAGCTTGTGGAAACCGACACAAGCCCCCATGCGCACGGCCTGTCTCTGTCCCCGTGCCCAGCGCTCTGTTGTGATTAGGAAGCGCCAGACCCAGGACGCGCCCTGCACTCCCAACCCCGCAGGTGTACGACCCCCTGGATGAGCAGGGGCGGGGCTTTGGGCTGCTGGGGGACGAGGATCAGCTGTGGACAAAGGGCAGCCGCGAGATACAGCAGCACCAGGTGAGAGTGTTTGATTATGCGTACGAGTGTTTGTGGTGCGCATGTGTGTTTGTGTGTGCACAAAAGTACACACATGACATGCATGTGTATATCTTTGTGTGTGTGGTATGTGCGTTTTTGTGTGCTCATGTATTGTGCGTGTGCGCATGTGTGTGTGATTAGAGTGCAGGGGGAGGTTTCTGACACCGGAGCAGGGGTCTTGCACACGCAGACGCGTGGATCAGGGTTCTGGGGCGAAAGGGGCCGCCGCCTCCATCCGCCGCGGCGCACTGTTTCAAGGCTCAACGGGCTAGGCGGCCCGTGGGTTTGCAAGTGGGAGCGCCAGGGACGGGCGGCGATGCTTGCGCCCCTGGCGCAAAGCAGCTATCCGCGCTGGCCGGGCCCTGTCTATCCAGCTTTCTCCGTTTCAGGGTTATCGCCCCTCACAGCTGCCGCCCACCCAGTCCCCCCCCCCGCCCTTGCTGTCTGCTGGCACTTGCGGCACCCCAACCCTGATCCCCTTTTTGTCAACCCCAGGTCAAGAGGGCGAAGCGCTTCCTCGACATCCTCTGGGCCAACACCCCCGAGAAGGTGCAGGGGGCACGGCGCCTTGCGAGCCTGCCGGTCTCGTGCCCGCCGAGCAGATCGCGCCCTGGGAGCCGCCTTGCTGCCGGGGGGGGCCCTGCAGTTTGCCTTCTGGTGGCCCCCAAAGGATGGCTCCCCGGGCCGCTCCTGCACACTGTTGCACCCCACTCGAAGCCGGTCCCACGCGCAATCATGAATCGACCCTCAACCTAAGCCAAGCTTCGACCTTAACGAGGGGCGGCCGTCACCTCGTCGTGTCCGATTGCAACCCGCAGGTTGTCGTCATTGTTACCCACAGCGGTTTTGCCCGCTCCCTGCTGCTGGCCGTCGAGAGGGAGCCCTACCGCCCCGCCAACGCGGAGCTCGTCCCCGTCATCGTCGACCGCAACATCGGCCGCGATGACGTCACGAGCCACGACGATGACGTCATCGCCGCGAGCCGGCGGTGACGGCGGTCCGCAGGAGGGATGCGGCAGGCGCGCCTGTGGGGTTTGCGGCGGGCAAGTTGCTGTGAGACCTGGGGTTGAGCCCTGCCCTCATTTAAAGCGCGAGTGAGGGCGGGTTGGTGGCGACAGGCGGCTAGGGTCGGGCATGTAGCGGGTTTTTTCTTTCGTGAAGCTCTGCGAATTGTGCAGGATTGAAGTCGCTGCATCCTCCTCACACAATTTTGAGTCCGTGCGTTCGACTCCCTTTGCATATACGCGAACAGCTTGGCACGAGCATAGCGCGTCAGCGTTGCGCCTGTGGAATGCTCTGGGACCTGCATTTGTGGTTGGTTGCGCTGCCGGCACAGACAGATCCCATTAACGAGGGTGCGGCGTCAACATGCTCTCCCGTGATGGCAGCAGGAGGCCGTGTTAATTCGAGCACCGACCCTGTGCCACTTGCGCCGCAGCACAGCTGAGCTGCCGCCTGGTGTTGCTCCGATCGCAATGCTCAATCTTGCACCACAAGCGCTGTTAATGTGAGAGGCCGCCAGGTTCGACCAAACAATGGCGGAGAAGGGCAAGAGGGTGGACATGGGTTTCGGGGGCAGCTGGCCGCGCCGTCCTTCATCTGTGCCATCGTGAACAGCAGGCAAGGCTCCGCTAAACAGTGATCCGACTGCGAAGGCCTCAGCAGGGGGCTGCTTTATGCGCAGGGGGGCCGTGCTGCCCTGGGGGGCCATCTAGCAGGGGTAGTGCCGTCGCCCGGGTCAGCCGCTTGTTTGGTGCAGCTCGCGGACACATCTTCACAAGTGATTGTCGACTGGGGGCGTGGGACCTGAGATGTGCAGAAAATCGTCTCATTGGCAGGTACAGACCAGCAAGCACCACACTTTTCAATCTGCCACTGCGTTGCATGGGCAGCAGGTATGCCTCGATAGGACTTACCATCGAGATGAATAGCAATAAATCGTGCAGACTCATTGTCATCTACCACTCGTGGCACGTCCAAGTGGACATTGGACCGAATCAAGCCACGTTCTGTTGCAGCAGCCGCCCCCCACCGCCCTCCCTGCGGGCACATGCATGTGCCTCACTACAGTAGCGCACTCTATTGGCCTGTATTGTGGCATCAATTATAGAGGTTTGCAGACAGTCGTTGATTTCTCCCGAAAGCCAACTGACAGTCAACTCCTATTCTCGGATCGTCGAACTCACAAACTTCGTGCCTGCTCGAAGATCGGACGCATTGGCTCATTGCCGCCAGGATTATTCGAACCAGCAATATCTCTTCACACCTATTCTACACCGAAAGCCACCCAGATGGCGCAACCATCTGGGAGCGCCGCACTAACTTTGCTTGCTGGCGCGCTCCTCGCAGCGCTGCTGCTCCTCCCGCCGAGAGCCTCGGCCCAGCCGCAAGGCAGTGCAGGCTGGCGCAAGGGCCGCGCGACGTACTTTTCCGGGCCCGACTACTTCACCAGCGCGTTTGACGCCGCGCGCGGCGTCGGGTCCTTCGGCATTCTGGAGAAGGTGGGGCTCGATGCCTGCCATCAAGAATTGGGTTACTGGCTCATCATCATGGGTTACGGGAGACAGAAACACCATGCAAACCTGGGGACAGGCACAAGCGTCCGACGGTGGCTATCCGCCAGGATGCGTGTTCGCACGAGAGGTGTGCGTCTGCGTAGTCAGGTGCAGTGCCCTTTGGTGGGCTGGTGCAAAATTGTGGAGCGAGCCGCGGCGTGACGCGCATTGGCGAGCCCTGGAGCAACCTGCAGCGCCAATATGGTCGTTCTGCCTAGGGAAGAAGCCCCCACATACGCCCCGCACCCCGTGTTTGCAGGGCAGCTGTGGCTTCACCAATTCGGATGGGGTGCGCGGGCAATTGCAGCACTCGCTTGCTCCTGTCGAGGCGCCACGAGCTGCCACACTGCTGCACAGACCGGCTGCCTTGACAGGGCAGGATTTCGCTCTGAATGCAGCCTTGATTTGCACGAGCACAGCGCAAGTATGAAAACAGCAGTGCTGGCAGGCTTGCATTCCTGCTCCGACGCGGAGCATCCACCTGCGGGCGTGTGTCCCACGCACCCCTTCCCCCCACGGCCTGTACAACCGACGTCCACTCTGGTGCGCAGCGCCTGCCCTTCACCCGCGACTCCGTGGCGGCCGCAGCGGACGCCAACCCGGACTACGGCGGCAGCTGCAACCGCTGCTACGCAGTCCGCTGCAGGAGTGGCCTGATACTTGGTGATTATGTTCGGCCGCCGCCCTGCCCAACGCGGGGGCGTGATTCCGCCGCCCGGGCACTCCATTGCTTAAGGCACTCCTCACCCCACTGCCGTTGCAGCAGGGCGAGTGCGGCTTCAACCGCGCATCATAGCAAGCCCATCCGTTTTTGAGACGTCGCACAAAGTGCACTGGGTGACAAGCAGCCGCTCCTCTTCTGCGGGCCGCACACGCACACCCGATAACCCCACTGGCTGGGCCGAAC